AGGACTTAGACTAAGACTTTTTCTTTTTCTTCATCTTCTGTTGTTCAGCAAATTAATAACCGCAAAATTCGCTGGGATTTGCAATGAAAGCTACTTTTGAAACTTTAAACTTGCTTATTGTACGCTATACAACTGAGTACTGTTACGCAGACCTTACAGACGTTATGACTTTGAAAAAAAGATACCAATTTGATTATTCGTTATCGGGTGAAGCTTCGTAAGGTAATGGTCAATTTTGTGTTGACTTAACGTTTTCACTTATTTTTCATTGTTTTGCTTTTAGTTGCTGTTTATCATTTAAGTCAAAGTAAATTTATCTGTACTCTATACGACCTTCACTAACTTTCAAGCGAAATGATGGAATGAATATAACTAACCTGTAACTCTACATTTTTAAGAAAGCCAAGTGATCTAGTCTTTCCACATTTTTAAAATAATCTCTTCATATTTAACGAAGTTAAATCACTATTCCGCATTGCCCTACGTGAATTGTGAGATATCCTCTATTATTCGTCCAAATCGGAAAGAGGAGGAAGCGATCACTCACGCAAAGAAAATAATTAATCTTTGCGAAAAGCTACTCATGTAAAACAATCAGATACTCGTTTACTGATGTTCGCTGTTAAAAAGGTGGATCAAAGCATTCAAAATTACACATCCTTTCATCAGCCATTGCATTATTATTTATTATTTCTATGTTCATTTTTTTAAAGGATAAGAATGAAATTTTGTTAATCAACCTAACTGAGATAAGTTGTCGCTTTGTTTCGTGATGATACGAATTTTGTCTTTTAGTTGTACACTTCATCTTGTTCTAATTTTTCGACAATTGTTTATCAGCTAGGTGGTCTTAATTGGTAAAGCCAGTCTCGTCGTCCTTGTGGGTTTGCGCTTCATCTTTGCCATTTTATCTCAGTTTTTGTAAATTGAAACTAATGAAACATTGGCGAAGATATCATTGGTCCTGATGGGGACTACAAGAGGTTACGATCAAGTACCATTTTCTGTAGATGCTATTTAGGCGGCTTAATGATGGGCGTGAGCAGAGAATTTTAAATTATTGTTAAGCTTGAAAAATCTGATCCTCTTAGTAGCTGCATTTTGTACAACAGCTTCTCTCACCAAAGTTAAACGGTCCACCTCTGCTGAGAAGAGATGCATGAAGCACAGGCATTGTATTCATTCTAGATCACGAAGTCAATTTCACGCGGTCACGGAAAGTGACCTTTATTAGCTTTAAACCAATCTAGTCTTTGCGCCTTTTCTGTTGACCATATTGCCTTGTCCTGCCTTTGTCGAAATAAGGAAACGGTTAATGAAGAAAGTCATTTTTTCATCTATTGTACATACCAAATTTCATATCCTTAGAAATGGCGAAAGTGTAATCTGCCTCTTTGCATAGAGGCGGCCAATGCATTTTTTCGACCGAAAAAACGTTGAAATTCTTCATCCTATTGTTGAAAAGTTTTCCGAAACATGCAAAAGCGATTTTTTCTATAAATCATAATTTCATACGACACGTAGGAAACCAAGAAATTTTACGTTTTTCACAACTGACATATGTTAATATCAATTTTCGAAAATTTTTTCCAATACGGGCAGTCATTTGGAAAAAATTTCATTTTATTTTATGTGCATTTATTCTTCAACCAGTAAAGAAGAAAATATATATATTTTTTTTGATATTTTATTTAAAAGAGTCGTTGTTACCGCGAAAAATTTTGCGATTCTTTTTAAATAATTCACTAGATAATTTTTTAGTTTAATTCGCGGCCGATAAAATAAAAATTACCGAGTTGACTAATATCACTGATTATTTTGGATGAATTTACGCGATGAAGCGTACCGATGTTGAAAAAGGTGAGTTACTAAAATTTTTTCTTTTATCACAAAACGAAGAACAAATCCTTTACAATTTTTACGCATGAAAAAAAAAAAATGATTTATATAATGTCACAATTTGAGGGAGAAAAAATATTTTCTTTTCAAAAAAAAAAAAAAAAAAAATATGAAAAAAATTTATGCATTTATGAATAAGACAAAATTGTGAGATGCTTAAAAATATATCTAAGAAATTATATCTAATGATTTGATGTGCTTTTTATCCTGCAAGCATGTCAGCTGGATAATTTTTCCCGTTATTTTTCCATGCGGATGTTTTCATATCTTGCATTAGAATATACAGCGATGCCAACATTTTTAAAGCGGGGTTGGTCGTCTGCGCGCTTAAAGCATTGCGAAAGTTTTTTTTTATTGCAGGGGCGTTATATAAAATTGAACTTATCGCCTTTTCAACAAAAAAAAAAAAAAAAAAAAAAAAATCGCACTCTTGATACAGACGCTTGCTCTCAGATGTTACCGAATTATTTTTGAATTACTCTCAGATGTTACCAAATTTATAGTCGATTTTTTCAATGTAACAGGCGGTTGTTTACCAATACAGACTGACTCTCTAAATTACTCTCAATTGTAAACTTCATTTTAGGAATTTTTCACTTTAGAAAATTGTTTATTTTAAAGCATTCCTAAAACCAATATTCTTCTCACAACCAATTGAAATATATTTCTAGATTTTTGCACTTACATATATATATACATATATATTATACACTGAGGTATATTGAAATTATTGAAAACGTGAAAGCTAATGAGTTAAATAACATCTACGATTAATGAGCCTATTAATATTCGTGATTTGCTCGCAAGAGATTACAATGAAGATCTCTCCCTCTCCCCTGCTTTCACCCGATTTAATTGGTAGAAAGTGAAGTAAAAAAGAGAATTACAGTGGAGAATATATATATATATATATTTATATATATGTATATATATGTATATAATTGGACAGAATTTGCTTAGGATTGGAATTTTAACATATTCGTCGTGAATGGGGGAGGTATACAGGACAATAAATCAATCCATCCATGCCCTTATATTGGTTGCAGATGTAATAGGTTCACTTTATTCGTGCAAGGAAGATAAATTTATATTTCATTTCCCAAGTATTAGAGATTGGTTTGGTCATAAATCGTTTAACAGGTGGAAAGGTAATATGTTGCCATCATTTCTTAAGCTTGACCTTAACCGTTTATAGCTAATTGTTTAATGAAAATTTTTTATGATCTTGCAGAGTCGGCAAGTCCACGAAGAAAGACGAAAGGGGCATGCGCAAACCTTAAGGTTGTCTACAATCGTCCTAAACCTGACGTTCTGCATAGTATAGTGCATTCTAAAGCCAATACTCAATACAATTCAAGACGTTTATGGTATGAATTAAATATGCCAGAGTGTACCAGTGAGATATTCGATGGCAAAATGTTATCGTCCTCTCTACCGCCTGAAGTAATGTGTCATACAAAGAACATGCGTGTTACACTAGATAAACAACGAAAAAGGAAAGAAAGTAAGTAAATTCTAATAATTTTGTTTTTGCTTTTATTATTGAAACGCTGCCTTCGTATTTATAGAACGTGGTTCATATATGCAAATGCGTTTAGAAAGAGAAAATTTTCGCAAGAAATTAGTAGAACTAATTGCGTGCGATGACGCTAAAGATATGGAACCGAATGCCACGGACTTAGATGCTGAATTCCCCAACACCGAAGAGAAAGAGATTTTACGTTATTATTATTACATTAAACATGGTATCGATACCATTCATGTAGCACCCATGAGCAAAAAAGTTTTGACTAGGTAAGCGCATTTTTGTTTTATGCTCACAATTATTGTAGATTAAGAAGATTAAGATTTATTATCTTTCGCTTTAAGGATAACCAATCAAATACCGCCTTATTTAAATAAATGGGCTGTAGCTTTGCTAGAGACTATCGAAGAAATCAAATCTGATTATGTATTCGCAATGAAGAAAGCTGTAGTCGATTTTGTCTTGCAAAATTCTTTACGCAGTGCGAACAAGAATTCGAAAATCGAAATGACGAGAGAACGTGAAGAAGCAAAAGCGATGTACAATAAATGGCGCTATCGGTATGTTTACGAAAAAAATCTCAAATTAAATAATTTTCCAAAATGTAATTAGATGCGAGGAACATTTTATGGCAGTGTGTTTAGACACCGATTTAAAAGTTTCTCGTTATCGAAAGGCAGTAGAGAGAGAAAGAGTGACATTAATGTATTATATGAAAAAAGAGAATACAACAAAAAATTTACTAATTTATACTACATTTATATATATATATATATATATATTCTTTAAAGCAAACGTGTACACACACCTACGCGCACTTTCATATCCTTTCGCTGACAATGACAGCCACCTAGACCACCTAAACCACTTTTGTGTTGGGTGCATGCTGGGTGCTTACAAAACTTTTTTAGCTTTTTTTCCCTTTTTTTGTTTTCTAAAAAGTATCTAAATATATCTGAGCGCTTCACATGGAAAATGGAATAACGTTAATTTCTAATAAAGCATGCGTTTGACTCCTAATTGTACATATTCAAAACAAATTTATTTTAAAAGTGAATTCAATACACTCTTATACAACTTTGACTGAACAGTAAAGGTAAAATCCTTTTCTTTCGTATGAAGAGTTTAGCTAAACAATTTTACAATTTTTCCCCTTAGTTTTGAATTTATAGAGTTAATCCGTTTGGCAAGTGAGGCAAGAGCGACCTCAAATTAAAAACAAGAAAATAATTACACTGGATGATTTTGCTACACGTAGCCTTTTCTTCTCGCCAGTGTGGGTGTCTTCTCCGCCAGTTTTTACCACCAACCTATTACTGAGATGGTGGCAACACTCACAATAAGCTATTTTTTTCAATGATTTCACATATGAATCAATGAATTCATGAATTCTATGGATCACATGTAATCCGGGATTAGCACAATTTTGCCTCTCGTAAATCTTGATTGAAACAAAGTTCTCAAAGGAACTCCGATATGTGCATACTTCCCTATGCGATAGAAACGCGCTTTCCCACTTTTCGGAATGCATCAGTGAGAGAAATCTCGAAAGATAGTTAAATTTCATGTACGTCATGGTGGTAGAAAAATCATTTTGGAAACTGCAAGTTAATTTATACGCGTGTAATGTACGTTAGAATTAGGTACTATTCTGATATGTTACTATTTTCGAAAATTGTAAAGCGTACTCTAAATCTGACATGGTACGCAAGTTCCATCACTCGCGCTGAACTGCCTTTGTAATATTTTACTTTAATCGTGTTTATAATAATCATAGCATTATTCTCTTATATGATTTCGTAACCGTTTTCAAAACAACTTTTTTAGCACATTACTATCAAGCAATGAAACGAGTAAGTGAAATATCAAATTCGGAATACAATTGCACGTTTTCTTATAAGGAAACTTGCAGTGCTTGCAATTTTCGTATTAATACTTCCTCAACTTTGTTTTTGTAAACATCTCTGAGAAGAGTGCGAATTTCGGCCAAACATTGCTTGAGTAAAATGACAGCGTTAATGCTTTGCTTTGCCGTAAAGGACTACTAGTATATACATACATAAATACTTGACTAGGTCGAAATTTCTTATATGCACATCTATACGTGATTTCGTGTACATATATATATATATATCCATGGATATATGTTCCATGTATTAGTTTTGTTAAGTGTTAAGTGTCAAAAGCATGCCAGCACATCCTTGCATGCACATGCATTCGTTTCTATTTCTTTTATTATTGAAACGAAAACATTTGATGGCGTCTTCTGTCACTATTTAATATGAAAGCCAAGCCCTTGAGTTGTTTAAAGTGTCAACACATTTCTAAATAACCAAAAAAAGTTAATGTGCGTTGAAATTCTTTATGTAGATAGTCATGCTTTTTAAGATTTCTTTTTTAAATTTAACTTAAATTTTTTGCTTTCCGCAACTACTATTTATTGCTCATAAGTTTCAAATTGTATTCTTGTCTCCTTTTCTAGCAGATGTTTTCTCATTCTACTTGATATTGCCATCATATTAAAATCATCAACGACTTTTCAAACGAAGTGTTTATATGCTGGTTTTACGTTTTAAATACGGCGTATACATCACCTTTCTACACTCGATATGTGATCCTTCTAGAAAAAAAAACAAGGCTTGAAAGAGAGATCAAAAATTGCCACTTTGCATTGCACATAGTTTTTGTGCATTAAACCATGAGCAGTAGAACATTGGCGGTGTTCTCTTTTCGACTGGGTCTCCATTTTAAGTACAAATTCCATCCGTTCCATTGGCTATACGTCCTTTTTTATATGAAGAGACGACGCAAACGAACCACATTTGAAACTTACATTTCAAATGGTAAACTGAGTATTCTTTCTTTTCTTGCTTGAGCTTAATCTTCATGTTTGCTTAAAAAGAAGCCGAAAGGCAATATATCAACTACATATTTTTGTCGATTTACTTCTCTCCCAATTTTGAGTCGCGCTTCACCTTGATGATTGGTTATATTTGGTATTAATCTCTTAAGTCTAGGATTCGTTGCAAGTAGATTTTCAAAAAAAATTATTGGGAAAGAAACTCTGTTTAATGTCAGAACATTAATTACGAGAGAGAAATAATTGCTTTTGGTGGTTAGATAAATTAACATTTACAAGCTAAGACTCTATATACATTTCATTTGCTGTAACGATAATGGCGATCATAAATTTACGTAAGCACAAATGAACATAAACTTGACTGGGGCCCAAAAGGTGATGAAAAATTGAGTCAGTTTGCAAACGTCGAAGTATGTGCTGGTCTAAGATCAAATAGCGGACGCCAAATGAAAATCAAAAGTATACGACCGAAGAAGAATAAGCATATGAATGAAAATTTGGCCCTTGTAAAACGTTCTATACCGACATATCCCAACATAAATGAAACCAAACGATAATTATAATTCTATACCATTCTCTTTACTCTTAGCATGTATATGTACATATGTGTATATGTACATAATAGGTGTAGATTATATATATTAGTTTGGGGAAAAAGAAATCCATTATTTCTTCGGTAGATGGCTGCACTGATAGATTTCTCGTAAAGT